TTGGAAGGAATTAATTCTGCCAGACAACTGCAGCTGTTAAGGCCTAAGCTTCCGAGTCAGCAGGGAGTTGCAAAGAAGCAACCCGCCTCAACAGATCCACAGGCGCATGTGCAAACACACACCTTCCTGGATGAGCTCCAAGGTTTGTGCTCATGAACCATATGCACATCCATTTGGTAGCTCAAGGTCACTACAGAATAGGGAACTGAACAGCTTTGCTTTCTGAGCTAGCTTGAGCCAGTCAAGTTCCCATAGCAGTGGAGCTTACCCCTGGAAATGATAAGCAGGATGCAATCCAGCTATGCATGCAGAATGGTTTGTGGGGCATTGCTATTGTATTGGTCTGTTCTTGGCATTGTCCTCTCCATACCCAAGCCATTACAAGATACAGACTCACAACAACCCTAGTTAACTTCTGTCCCTCAAATGGTCATTTCCCCTCATACCCATTGGTGTCTCCTATTATAAAAGCTCCTTTTTGATCGGGGTGTGCCAAGCCTGGTGCTTAAATAAAAGCACAGCAATCATCTTCGAGACAGATTTCATAATGCTAGCTTGAGCTGCTATTCACTGAAAGGGATTTTACATTCTCTTCCTTTTGTTAGAGGACAACAGCATGAGGTATGGCGTTGAAAGCACTGAGGAGATGGAAATGGCCATTCAAGCCTGTCTGTCACAACAACTAAAGGTATCAAATCAAAGACCTTTTCAGCTCCATAAGAACTTCTATGAACGCTAACTACAGCGTTTAGGCAGGGCAACTCTGAGCTACATCCTCCTTCAACTGTTGTTTCCAATTTTCCTTAGATTTCCACGGACATAATCTCTTCCTAACATGTTGGGTCTTGTAGCTTGTTGCTGATCTTGAGAGAAAGTATGGTAGGCCACCATATGTGGAAAGCTAATTTAATTGTGATCTGTTGGTGACAGAAAAGGCAAAAGACACAGACACAGAGGCCAAGAAGTAAGACAGACATTGGAGGAAAAGGTTTCTCAGGGGTTGCAGGTTTTGTCTGATATTTGTTCATCAGCACTATAGTTTCATGGAGAAAATGTTGTTGTTGTTCATTTGTTCAGTCATTTCCGACTCTTTGTGACCTCATGGACCAGCCCACACCAGTGCTCCCTGTTGGCCGTCACCACCCGCAGCTCCTTCAAGGTCAATCCAGTCACTTCAAGGATGCCATCCATCCATCTTGCCCTTGGCCGGCCCCTCTTCCTTTTTCCTTCCATTTTCCCCAGCATCATTGCCTTCTCTAAGCTTTCCTTTCTTCTCATGATCTGGCCAAAGTACTTCATCTTTGCCTCTACTATCTTTCCCTCCAATGAGCAGTCGGGCTTTATTTCCTGGAGGATGGACTGGTTAGATCTTCTCGCTGTCCAAGGCACTCTCGGAACTTTCTGCCAACACCACAGTTCATCGGCATCTATCTTCCTTCACTCAGCCTTCCCTATGGTCCAGCTCTCACATGCGTAGGTGACCAAGGGTGAATACCATTGTTTAAATATGCAGATCTTTGTTGCCGTTGGAGAAAACATGAGCATTAATATAGGGCACTAGCAGAATTCTGGAAACCATACACAGTTATATTCATAGATTCAACATTAATGCAACCAGCTCAGATAAACATACCTCTCTCTAACAGCATTCTCACAATGTACTCTATCACTGTTAATTTCCAGCATTGGTGTAACAGTCAATAGAGGCTGGCATCCTGCTAGTGACACACATAGGCATTAAGTCTAACTTACACCTGATTATGTTTTGGGTAGAAAGTCATCATGAAGGTCAGAATGAAACAATCCAAGTCTCCTGACAACTCATCTTCTTCTTTTTACTCAAACCCACCCATAGCCATGGAGTGTCTTGTGAAAAGTGCTACTTAACTGTAGCTATTAGGGATGTGTAATCCATAAAAAATAGTTCAAAAGTCATTACAAAACTGGGGGGTGCTGTCGCTTTGTTTCTAAAGTGTTTCTAAAGAATACTTAGTGAAAATTTCATTGCTATAATAAGACTAATGAAATTTCATTACTAATGTGTTATAGTAATTGCACATGCACATAATTAAATTACTATACAGTGTTCCCTCGCTGCTTCACAGTTTGCTTTATGCGGACTCGCCATACTGGTTTTTTCCTCCCCCCCCCCCCGGAGCCATGGGGAGAAGGTGGAAGGAGGAGGAAGAGAGGAGGGGAGGGGGAGCCAGGCCTCCTCCTCCTTGCCACCTGTGCTCCAGCCCCCTTCAATTGCGCCCAAGGGGCCTCCGAGGTCGGGAGCAGCAGAGGTAGTGAGAAGGAGGCCACAACTGAGCATTTCATGGATTTTCACTTATTGCAGGGGCTCCTGGAATGGAACCCCGCGATAAGTGAGGGAACACTGTAATTAGGACAACTCCAGGGGCTCATAACTCCCTCATTTTAAAACTATTCAGGTGAAACTTGCTACAATGGTAGAACACATTTACTACTGTTAGCCCACCAAATTTAAGAATGTTTCACTCATCTGCAGATTTTTGGCAAATTTTCAAAGTTTTTATAAACAACTGTTTTTTTAATAATAAAGAAAATCTGTTCCTAGTTTCAAAGTGTTATTTTCTGTTCAATTGTGTAGTCCTACTTTGAAAGTAGTTGTTTCTCCAGAAACATTGTTTTTGTGGCAGAAACTTCACTAAATTGGTGGAGACTCAACAAAGCAAAATGTGCTATATATAGGACAATGTCCCTTGTGCGAAGACAGTTTTTGCAGTGTAACAAACTTTTGCCATATTTTTATGACAGAACCTATTAGGAAATAACATTTACAACCCAGGAACAGAAATCATAGTGTAGAATATTAATAAATGTATTGGAACTCTAGCTGGTACAAAACGATCTCCTCTCCTAATTGGGGGTTTCTGGTGCTAATGCATAATGGGAAATGTAGTTTAGGGCAGAACTTTTTTTAATTCTTTGGTATAGGGCTCCTCCGCTTCCCAAATGCATTGCTCCCTCTTTTCACTGCTCCCAATGCCAAGACAAGACTCTATTAATTCCAGGGAGAGGAATGGCAAGGCAGGCACTAAGGCAGGCAGGCAACCTTTTTGGCTTAATGGCTTTGCTTCCTTGCACTGAATATAAAACTGACTTTAGGAGCCTTCTGAGACTTCCAAAATTAAAATGAAAAAGCATGGGATGTTTCGATTCTAAAATATTTGGTGTGGGCCAGGCAAACGCTTTGGATATGGCTTCTGACTTACAAAACTTCCGATTTTCTTACGATCTCTGATTCTTCCAATTTTTTTGCACATGCCTAGTAGCTCTACACTCAATGATGAACTCCTCTTCAGGAAACCTCCAGAGCTCCAGATGACTTCATGTCAGCATATCTGTCAGTAGGGACATAGCCAGATACAGCTTAGGTGTCCCCACTCCCCACCAGGCACCACATGACTGAGAAGGGGGGCAGAAAGGGAAGTCCTGTGAGAATGAAACATTTCATTGCTCTACCATGATGCACAATCTTGAACAGAATCTCACAGCCTACGCATTTCATTTGCTGGTACATATAATCTTGGGTTTGCATTGAATTCATTGTCATTCTTTTATGGTAATTAACTTTATTAAAATCAATAGGATTTATACCTGGCTTTATGTGTAAGATTATTGTTTTTGTTCTGTTCATATAAATCAACTCTGACTTACAGCAACCCTATAATGAGCTTTTCTTGACAAGAGGAGTTGCCATTGCATTTTTCTGAGGCTGAGAAAGTATAAATGACTTTCATGGCTGAGCTGAGATTCCAGCTGATATCAAAGACACATCCAAGAACTTGCATGGTCCACAGAGCTCCCTCCCTCAGATCACCTCCAGCAGCTGATTGGAGGCTTCTGGACTTCCCTGTTCAGCTGGGAGGAAATCCCCAATTATATCACCGGTGCCTCAGTCAATCAGGGTACCAGCATAGACCTGCCTCCCAACCAATCAAACACCAGGGAAAGCACCGCCCGCCTTTGCCAAGCTGGCCAATCAGGGAGGAGGAAGGGAGGAGGAAGGGAGATTTTTAAATGGGACAATGTTAGTGAATGGAAACATATGCGTATGAAGATATTTGCTTGTGAATACATTTTTACACTTGTACCCTTCAAGCACCAGTGCTGTACAAGTGTTCCTTCCACGCAAATTGAATAAAGTCTCTGTTGCTTGCCTTCATCCTAGTGAGATCTTCAGTTCCTGGTTTCCGATTCAGTAGCCACATTAGCTACTCACCAGGCATCCCTTGGGATTTAGCTGAACTACAAATTCTGCCATCATAGCTCTGGTCTCCCAGACTCCCGGTCTAGTTCATTGTATTTCGTTTTTAAGGAGATGAAATCAATACATTTTGAGTAACGACCACAATCCTGCACAAGGAAATGGTGCTTCAATATGTATTTATAATAGTATCTCATTCAACCACCTCCAAGTCTCCCCTTCATCATTGAGCCCCTGCCCCCTCAAACCCAGCTATTTAGTGGTTATGGAGAGTGGAGGGAGCCAATGGACAAGTTTCCAACTATTTTTCATTAGCCGGAAGCACAGCAACAGTCATCATCAAGGGTCCTCCAGAGGTCCTTGCAGATGATAGCATTGCTCTGCATCTACCTGTAGGGAAAAAGCAGAAAGCTTGCTCACTGCTCTCCCACTCTACACCAACCAATGAATGGCTAGATTTGAAGGGAGGGGCTGCAGTTGAGAAAGGATGAAGGTGGGTTATTGTATATTTAGTAGTAAATACTCCAAATCAACCAAAAAAGGTAAGCACGAAGTCTGCTTTGTTGTTAATTGCCATGAAGTTAGCTTTGACCTATGCTGACCCTATTATTGTGAGACCACTAAGAGACCTTGCTAAAATAATGCAAGTGCAGAGCCATGGCTTTCTTGATACAACATAATGCAGTCTTCTACATTCCTCCCAAACATTGTCATCTTGTATCATGACTGACATGGTCTCATATTATGTCCAAAGTATAGTAAGTCATTGTAATTCATCAACAGGGTGCCAGCCAATATTTATTTTGACAAAAGTACATGTAAATGCTCAAGCAAATCATTTTACAGGAATAAAGGAAATACATTTTCTTGCCTGTAAGTATCTGATCATCAAGATACAACCTTAGCCTTCTTTCTACCTTACCTTTATTATTCCCGGTGGAACTACATATTACCCAAGGAACAGAGTTTGGAAAAATTACTCCATGGGGACTTTAACTTCCAGAAGAGTTATAGTCTGAAAAAGTCACTTTCCTAAGGCTTGATAGTGAAATATATTTCCCAGTTGGTAGTTAACAGTAATAAGGTAACAGAGTGGAATTTGCAGAGGAGGAACGGCAGCAGATGGTAACCGTGTGTTACGCTTTTTCCTTCCTGCTAATTCTCCCTGCAACCCTTCTCCTATGGAAAACTTATTTCAGACTTATTTCAACTTTCAGAGTCAGTAGAAAATAAAAGAACTGGCTGGAGAAAGAATGAGAGAATATTATAGTCAAGACCTCTTTGTTGGCACAGCTAAGGGTATTATGAGGTAAACACGGTAGTTTCACCCAGCATTGCCAATGGGAGCAAAAGCTGGGAAATACAACATTACGCTATTATCTTTACTGATTGGAATCCCATTGTTAAAATTTAGTACTCAAGCTTAGATGTATGAGAGAGAGATGGCATGCTTCAGCTCTATAGCAGAAGTCTCATCTCAGTTCCATGCCCTCTGGACAAAATTTGTCACATAGTCACTGTGCATGGCACTGCATCAAGTACAGTGGGCCCTTGGTGTCTGCTGGAGTTTGGTTCCAGGACTTCTTGTGGATAACAGAATCCATGGATGCTCAAGTCCCATTATAGACAACAACAGAGTAAAATGGTCCTTTATATAAAATGGTAAAATCAAGGTTTACTTTTGAGATTTTAAAATATATTTTCAATCCATGAATGGTTGAATCCATAGATAAGGAGGCCCTTCTGTAATAAAATTTATCAGAACATATGCCCTAAGCCCGCTCACTGCTACAATGCCAAGGGTAAAACTATGGTGAGTGTTGTCACTTAGGGTAGAGTCTATCTAAAGTTATGCACTTTCTGAAAAAAATTCTCCACACTCCACTTTTGAAATAACTGCTATTGAGCTTAGCAAGAATGCACATAAATGCACAATGTCAGGTCATAAACAGACACATTTATTTGCAGTCATTCAGTCAACCACATACAGCAGTCTTTAAGTCTTGTTGCTTTCATTGGGGAGAATTAAGGCTATTCACAACTGAAATCAATGTGATGTAAACATTTGTAACCTTGGTTGGGTTGCCCCCTCATTTATAGTGGATTTTTGCGCTACAATATTAGAGATTTTAAAAACTGTCATATATTTCATACCACAGACTGTGGTCTTTGCTAACACTTCCCCTCCTTTTTTTAAAAAAGCTTCAGTTTGAAGAATTCTTTGAAACTCAAAAACATATGTATTACTTTGTGACTTTTGGACATTAGTGTTCTTGCTTGATATCACACACACCCATGAAGATATATATATATATATATATATATATATATATATATATATATATATATAATCACTTTAAATAATAGCCAAATCTCTGCAATTTGGCTTTTTTCATATTTCATGTCTCAGATCTATCTTCAGCTTAAAGCAGTGGTTCCCAATTTTTTTTGACCTGGGATCATTTTGACCAGGGACCACTCTCCAACAATAGTACCAAAAGGATTATGAATCAGTTTTTGGTCAACTTCAGATTTGGTTTGGTTATTTGGGGGTGCTGATTCAGAAAATTGCATTGGATAGACCATACCACCTCTAATTTCTGACACAGAATATCCAGTAGTCTCCATCTGCTTACCCATAGAAAGCCATATGTAATCACATAGAGCTGATGTGGTCTATCCAATGCAATTTTCTGAATCAGCACCCCAAATAATCCCAGGAACAGGCCTAAAAATGAAGACACCAACGTGCCACCGTTTCGAGGCACCAAATGGAATGGCTTCTCTCGGGGGAGGGAGGAGGAGGAGGAGAAGCAGAAGTCAGAAGGTTTGTTGATGTATCTTTTGTGGGGAGTCAGCCTTTCCCCTCTTGATACCCCATTGCCTCAACATTATAAGAGGGTTTTGTGAGACTAGTCACTCTCATTGCAATGGAGTAGTAACAGTGAGGCCATGGACCATATTTTAGTTCCTGGAAACCACTGGTGGTCCATGGACCACAGATTGGGAACCACTGGCTTAAAGTTTTCATCTTATTTGAATTTTGGAACATTATTATTGAATTTGGTTTGATCATTAGGTTGTATTTTCTATTTTCTCCTTTTTAATAGAATGTGTATTTTAAAGCATGGAGTCATTCTTACTCATGAGGATAATTTTTCCACATGACAAAATGAATTGGCGGTGGGTGGAGGCTGGGAAACACATTATTCTGTTGTTTAAGTTCAATATAAATATTTCAAAAAACAAAACCCCTTTTAATTATAAATGCTGGGCTTAAGCAAGAACTACTAATAACTTTGAAAAGTTTCCCCTAGCACATTACAACAAATTATGTATGGAATGTAAACAGTGTATTTACATACAAGAGATTCTTTTCTCTAAAATGAAATAAAATTGTGAAACAGTCGAACACAATGATAGGATCTTAAGGACATTCAAACAGCCAAAGATCAATGTTAAAATCAGCCTTGTGTTCTATATCTGAGAGCACTGGATTTTAAACAAAATATACAAGAAAGGCCGCCAATAATCCCCTACTTTTTCTTTCCAGCTTCTGGCTAGAGAAGACTTGGGAAATTCTGACAAACGTAATAACCTCTGAAGAAGCACAGTAAATGAGTGTAGGCAAGACAGAGATCAATCACCCAACAGCTAGGTGTAAGGCATCTTCCTATACTTGAAACACACGTACATTGATTAGGGTGGATGTCCTGTCTCCTAATAGAACCTGTTCCTCCACTCGGACTACTACACCATGTTGGATCTCATTTCAATCTTCACACCAAACAAGAAGAAAGATAATAATTAGGACTAACCTGTTTCGTTAAGTTCTGGACTGCCTCAGTCCTCTACAAAAAGAAATAAGGAGAGCAGAGCCTTCCCCATACTTTCTGCTTTTGCCTTCATGGGAGAACCCCATCCACACCAGTTTCGGTTTTCATATCAGAGCTCAACTTAGAATCAACATAGTCTGTAGGGTGTAGGGAAGCACCACATAGACAGTAAAGATATGTTTATCACCTACTACTGATATGCAGCCTGCACCATTATGTCCTGATACGACTCACTCTTACAACATTAGGCTAGCTTTAAACATCTTGTCATGTCAGTTTGGCACTTGGGCCCAAATGACACATTACTGAAAAATGCATGGATCCTATTTGTCCACTTGCTTCACTTCCCAAACTTCTTGGGTTTCATCAGACTTGAATTCAGAGGGTTAGCATCCATAAGTGGACAATGGCACAGGAAAAAGAGTGGGCAAGACAATGACACCAGCCTAAATCCAGTTGTTAGTCCCAAATAAATTAGTCCAACAGAGTTATCTCAGTGTTGATTTATCAAGTTGGGATGAAAGAAATAGATTTCTGTTATCATGAATTTTTTTTTAACTCACACGTCAGCAGGGAAATGGAGAAGACTCAGATTGATGGCACTTATGTATCTCTCTACAATTTGTCACTTGGGTTTAATAGGTAATGATTTGGAAAGAACTGAGACATTGGATCCATCAAAGTCCTACGCATCTAAATATTGGTTTATTAAAACCTGTGGTGAAGAGTCCTTCTCAGTATCTTTGCATCAAGAATTATTTTGAAGATAACATTGTTTTTTCTCTGGGAGCAGGAATATAGGTCAAACAAAAAGCACAATGTCACACAATTCAAATTTCTAAAATATCAAACAGTTACAATAGTTCCCCTCTGCTATTACCATAACACGCGTGAATCTATTACAGTATATTTCCAATCATGCACTGCACTGGAAAGAATCCATCAGGGACATTTACCAAAAAGTGTGATCCTTCTAGTAGAACCCAGGAGGTACAATATTCTACACTCGGACAGCAAACAGGACAGATACTTCATTGAATGCCCATTGTCTTTTGTGTGTATTTGTGTAAGTGTATTTGTGGCTACACATATCCATAGGTGGTGGATGACATTTGTGCACTAGTGTCACAAGTCCAGGAACATGCTTGATCCTGGCCCAGGTGAGATTCTTTTAGGGCTGGTAGCAGAAGGCAGATGCTCTCTCTTGGAGAAGTTCTCGGCACAAATGACAGCTCCAGCTTCCTGTAAAGCAAGAAAGACAAACCTTCAGATCTGCCATTTTTGCTACTGGTTGATTTAGAGTAAAACATTCAATTTTGCCATCTTTATGTATGTACATGTCTATTTATCTATTCATTTAAATAATCCCACCCTTTACCTGAGGGTGTCATCTTGGTGTACATTAAAGCCAATTTAAGGCAAGAGGAAACATATCTTTAATCATTTATCACTTACAGCAAGACAAATTAAATCCAGTCCAAATAATTTAAAAGAAGGCAAACTATAGCACACCTATAGCAAAGAAACAACAAGGGTGATCAAGGAGGAAGTGGGTAAAAGAAAGGGATGAGATGGACTTGTTCACCTCTGGCTTAAAGCACTGTAGACATTTGGCACTGAATCAAATACCTCTGTGAGAATGAGGCTTTTAGAATAGGGGGGAAATTGCCCACCCCACATCTAGGGGACATCTAAACATGTCAACAATTGTGGGAGTGGTATTTAAACAGAGAGCCATTTTAACATTGCATCTCTCCTACAAGGAAAAGGCATTGGCCAACATAAAATTTTATCTTTGCTACGATCACAAATACGTAGTTTTCTCTCTGTGTCAATGCATGTAGTCTGGCTGTATTTGACCCCAAACGCACCAGATCCCAGCTGATCTTGGGAGTTAAGCAGGGGCTGTGCTTTTTAATACTTCAGTGGGAAACCACAAATGAATTTCAGGTGCTATATGCTATATTTTGGGGTTAAACCACTGAGCAGCAGAACTTGCTGACCAAAAGGTCAGTGGTTCAAATCCATACACCGGGATGAGCTCCCATCATTAGACCCAGCTTCTGCCAACCTAGCAGTTCGAAAACATGCAAATGTGAGTAGATCAATAAGTACCACTCCAGCAAGGTGACAGTGCTCCACATGAGCTTGGAGGTGTCTACGGACAATGCCGACTCTTCGGCTTAGAAATTGAGATGAGCACCACCCCCCAGAGTCGGACTCAACTAGATTTAATGTCAAGGGGAAACCATTACCTTTACCTATGCTATATTCAGAGGAATATAGCATAGGTAAAGGTAATGGCAAAACCACTTCCGAGTATGAATTGTTCAGAGATTTGGCAAGCAACCCTTCTCTATGAGCAGAGACTCAGGGCTTTTGGGAGACTTTTAATGATTTAGTCAATTAACTCCCCACTCCTACTTCATCACACAATTTGATGAATTACAACCGTGACTTCTTCTGAATTCTCTTAGCATCTGCTGAACTTGATTTTTTCATGTCAGTCCAAAAAACTCCAAATGATGATTTTTGCTTAAGTGAAACATTTCTGTTAAAATAGCAGAAATTCCAAATATCTTTTTTGTAGATACAAACTTTTCCTGATGCTATGTCAAAGGCTGAGGGCTAGGCCACACATACAAGTGAACACATTCAGACCCCTAGGGCCACCCCTACCATGAGGATGAGTAAGGCTACTGCTTCACTAATCATATAACAGCCTATGGAAGGAAAAATGTTGCCCCAGATTCCCTCTTTTGCACAAGAAAATGGCTCCTGTAATGTTACTGATCATTACATAAAGGCCCAGACTTTGCAATTTCCCACTGCTCTCCTTGAAACACACTCATAATTTCTTACACAGCTATTCTAAACAATGTTACCTTCAGGAGGTTCAGAGACGGGTGGATTTAAGCAATACATGTGATAGCCACGGTCACAGTCATCACAGAAAAGCAGCTGGTCCTGATCCAGGATTGTTATGGGAAAAGAAAGACAAATAGGTATTACTCATTGGAGCTGAAGGCACTCCATAAGCATATGCATTTCAGTGCCATAAATGAGAAGCTGTGATGGCAAGATAATAAATAGCTACAGTAGGACCGCTATATGTACAAGTCTGGTTTCACATACTCACATTCAAGAATATATGTGTCCCATCCCCCCACCACCACCCCTAGTATTCTAGGGGTCCTTGAGGTAATTCTATGGTATACTTCTACTGAAAGTTAATCATACAGTCCTGTAGGAAAACCTAGCAAAATCCTTGAAAGTTCAGGAAAGTATCCCCTGCAGATAGAGGGATACCGTATCTGAATACTGGTGAGAAATATACCACCATTGTTCCTGTTTTCTAAAATGATAGCTGTTACATTTTCACTTTGGCATTGCCTTGTTTCCTGAGCACAAGAATCATACATGATGCAACTTGTATTTTAAATTGAAAAATATCCTATGGAGTTCAAAGCATGACCTAGCAAAAGGACACACACACCCATCAAGATAGAACCTCTGAATCAAAATTGCTACATTTCTGTCCTAAACTAGAGCATCTTCTATACATACATTTTAAAACAGAAGCAATACCATGATTGTCATTGTAAAATGGATCTCCCTCGCTATCAAAAAGAGAATCCAAAAAGCAAGATATCCAATAGCCTTTTCCATCAATGGTATCAAGAGAAAGTGGAGTGAGAGGATGCCGTAAGCCCCATCCCACCCAGAATTGTGGTTGCAGTTATGGAGTCCAAGGGGTCAATGGACCCTGCCACCATTGCCCAGAAAAGGATTATGATTTAGTTATTATATACTTCATATAGCCAAGCCTCACAGTACATCCCTGCTTTTGATTCCAGGAGATACGTACATGAGATTATTTGCTTTCTTCTAAGCTCATATGCCTCCAACTTGGGGTAGCTAGGATGGCTATAAGGGAAGAAATTGGCTCCCTGCTTTTTACTGTCTCCACACCTTATAGAAGGAAAGGATGGCCATTCACTTGCAAAGTAAAGTTTTCTTTGTATAGCCACCACGACGCCAAAAATTGGAGAAAAGAACACAATATATATATAAAAAATGGGACTGAGAGATAGAGATAGCCATGGACTAATCAGCGAGGAAGCATGTACCAGTCTCTAATGACTCAGATATTGTCTTAGTACAATAGTTACCAAACATTTGGTCTTCCAGATACTTTGGGCTTCAACTTCAGGGAGCTCCAGCCAACATCGCCAAAAGCCAGGAATTCTGAGAGCTGAATCCCCAAACAGCTGAATGATCAGAGTGTGGGAACCACTGTCTTAGTAGGATTTGCTGTTTAGTGGGATCCTGGCCTACCACTGGCTGCAAAAGAAGCCTGGCTCCCTATAGGCTGAAAGACTGGTTCTCAACCTGTGGATCCCCAGGTGTTTTGGCCTATAACTCCCAGAAATCCCAGTCAGTTTGCCAGCTGTTAGGATTTCTGGGAGTTGAAGGCCAAACATCTGAGGACCCACAGGCTGAGAACTACTGTGTAGATGTTTGTTTCTGCTGTAAACATCTGCTACACTCATTAATCCTCAATGTAGTCCATGTTGTTTTGTTTGTTAGTTTGTTTCAGCTCGACTATTGCTAAATTAGGATCATGAGAGCAGTTTGAATCACTGCTCAGTCATGAAAACCCATTGGGTGAGCCTGGAAAGTCATGCTCTCTTAGCCTCTGAAGAAATCTTGCGAAGAAAATCCAATGGCATAAAAGTAACTTTTCTGAGTTCTGATTCTTCCCTTGGTTGTTGTAATTTTGTTGTTGTTAATCCTCCTTCACCACCATTTTGCTATGAGTCACATGGGGCATGATGTTGAGCATAGTGCCATTCCAATGTGAAGCCATTGAACTTCCTATAATATAGGGAGCTTATTAAATATTATAATTCCACAATGATCCCAAGTAAGGCTGAAATGCAATGCAGGATGCATGTAGCACTTAGAGATCCTGCCTGAGATGTAGCTCTGGTGATGGAATTGCACCTTCCCATGCCATCCTCAAAAACCTGCCTTGGAGGCCAGGCAGTCCCTCCCCAACTAAAGGATGCAGGTGAGTGGTAATGCTTCCAGCCCTCTCCCAGCAACAAGACATGATGCACCAATCATCTTGCTGCCAGGCAGAGGACGAACACATCATTGCTCACCACTCTTTTCTCCAATACCTTGGAAATCATTCTCTTCAGGAGCTGCCTGACTTCAAGCATTATATATGGTGCAATGACTGTAAACATGACTTCCAATCATTCTAATGTCATATGTCTGGCTTACATAGTTTAAATACTAAGTAGGATGCCAGTCCTTGCCAGAGGAGCAAAGACACCAGTGGCTTAGCAAACCGAAATAAAGGCTTTATTATAGGAATGCCATTCTAAGACTCGCTTATTACATAGGTTGCTCCACTAATTTACCTTCATTCTACAGATCAACCGAAAGTGGAACGGACAGGAAGAAAAGAAATGGAAACACAACCCTAAAACTATTGGACTATATCACAGAAGAGTCAGGATAAGAAGACACAAGAGATGGATATTACAGGTCTATTACTTCTGGGGCATTCTTAACTCTTCAGTGCTAAGTGTTATTGCACTTCAAACAGAAAGCATTTTTTTTAAAAGAAGGAGGAGAGGAAAGACGGGGCATTACAGACATTTGAAAGAACTATCTCCTGGTGCTCAAATGTGATGACATTTAATTACTGTCTCGTGATTGGCAAGAAGCTGCTTTTGGTGATAGTAACAAAGGTAAACTTACATCATTCTCAGAGGTTCCACAAAGGCTGCAGGATTTGCACTCAATGCACTGCCATTGATAGGTTTTGACAGCTTCTGTCATGTTTGCTGTGAATTGCAAGCAGGTGGGGTGACCTAAAGAAATGGGAAATGCCCATCATTAGGGGTACTTTCTTGGCTATGTTAATCAAAGTCAGAAACTCTAGGAACAAAACACACATGGACATGGACCAATCACAACATGGGCTCCAAACTAATGGATATCAAAGAGGAAAGCAGGCATTAACCCTTTTGCTGCCGGGCACAAGAAGAACCAAAGTCATCCCTTCCCACTTCCCCATTGGCAAAGCAGTTTTATTCAGAGCTCTTAAAAACATTGCACCATTTTCTTCCCTTTCAAGTAAAAAAACAGGAAAGTTAGAGGAAAAGCACTCATAATTTCTTCCTTTTCCAAAGAAATCTGTAGTTTTTAGCTCATTGAAATATGTGGCAGTATTAATAATTTGTTCCCAATTAGATTGTCTAGGCATCTGCCAATGTACTGAGGATCAAGTATTATTTTTAAGAGCTCTGCACTTCCAAAGTTGGTTCGCAGAGAAGAAACCAAACTGCACAGCTAACCTTTCAGTATAAAAAACAAAACAAAACAAAACAAAAAGACCTCCCAACTACCCACAGAACCAAAAATAACCTACAAAAGGAATAAATGAAGGAAAGCTAGCATAACAGTCACATCTATCAGGGAAGGACAGCTGCTGCCAGGACTCTAGCCCCCTCCCCTACATGCGTGTCGACTCCAGCTTTGCAAAACAGCAGGACTACGGTAGCAGGATCAGCAATGAGGGGTTCTGGAGGGGAAGGAAATACAAACAAACAAACCAAAGGTAGGGTCAGTGTTCCTTCTGTAAAACAAGAACAACAGCTGAGATACTAATAACAATTCCCTCCAAATCACATCCCTCCCCATCTTGGTATCTTTCTCAAAATTGGGACCCATTATCAGCCCTGTGCACCAAATACACAGATAGGTGGAAGCAGGCCAATGGCACACGTGTTTGCATTGCACACACTTGTCATGTCAGGTATCTGTGTTGGTTTCATCCTCCTCACCGTTTGCTATTCTTAGCAGTTGGAAGGAAATGATGCAGTCTGGCTTGAATGAAATGGATTGGTGTCAGAACCGTGCTCAATATGAACAGGGTCACAGGAAGCACCAACTACAAGCATTGCGAATTTCCAAAGAATTTATACTCCCTCTGTAACTCTGATTTCCTTTCTTTTAGCCTCTCAAAGGAGATATTGGTTCAGTTCTAAAATCATTTGGGCTTAAACTACTCATGTGTACCTTTATCAAAACACCATTTTCAAGCAAAAAGAGCTGCAGGAGGCTGCAAACTCAAAGGGACCAAGTGTGGAAAAAAGGAGGTGTTGCTTCACTCTTTCTCAAGTCCTTCTGGTCAATTCTAGGGGAGAACATAAAAAACACCAAAATATTTTCTCCCTGGAAATGGAAACATAGCCACATGGAAATTATGACCTGCGGGGTAGAGAAAATAAATGAAGGGGAAATCCTCCTAACCATTATTCTCCCTCCCAAGGCTGCTTTTTAAAAAGTAAAGAAAGTCAACCATGTCTGCTCCAAGGCTCAAAAGCCCTTCATCACACTAGAGAAAAAATCCACTTAAACACCGTTTTCTGCCTCCTGCAGAATGCTGGGGTTTGTTGTTTAGGGAGGAGCCTTTAACAGCCTCACTGAACTACAAACCCCCACATTCTGCAGGAGGCAGAAACCGGATTCTAAGTGGGTTTTTTTCTCTAGTGTGATGAAGTGGAAATTAGAGCAACTGGCTCTACTCTGAGCCTTATAGTTCCATTTTGTTTTTCCATTCAGTTATCACTTTCTAAGGCTACCACTGAAGCTGCTATGACTATAAAGCTAGTGAATGTCCTCTCCAGACATTTGCTTGCAAATATGACCATCACTGTGCTATTTTGCCATAGCATAGCTTACATCTGTTCCTCTTAAAAGTTATTAAAGAAGGGATCCTACTTTTTAGCTTGCCAGCTTTTATTGTACAGCTACGCTGATATAAATTGTGAATCTGGATAGTTCCACATCAGACTGAGGATCCTTCTGCACTGACCATATAATGCATTTGAAAGCTGACTCAAGGTTTTGGTGGCCACAAAACACAAGCCGGCAATGCACCCATCTAGAGGTAAACCACACATTTTAAAAAGTACCAGGAAAGTTCGAATTCAGTAACAACAACAATGCACTACAATGTATCCCAGATCCAGTGCTGTGTATTCCAGAACCAGAGGAAAAACGCTTTGGAGTATATTATAGACACCCACCCCTGCTTAAGCACAGAATAAAATCCAGAAGGGAGGCTGCAAAAAGTGTCCCAAGGCAAGCTGGGCAACAAGGGACTAATCAAACCCCTGGGAAGGTAACTGATTACCTCCCCTGCTAACTGTCACAGGCATGGTAATCTAATTACCTGTGCAGCAAAACCCAATTCTTTCTAAAGAGTTTCCAAGCTGGATTATAGTGTCAGTGGTGTAGAAATGCCCTGAGTGTATTTTACATGTTGCAACTAGCAGCCCTATTGGTTCTTCTAATGACATAGCTGATAGCAATGTACTATATAGAGGTAACCGACTGAAGGAAAAACAAGCATTTATGGAGAGGTCTATCATCACCTTTCACAATACATTCTTCTAAGACCAGTTCCTGGATTTGGTGGGGAGTGGGGTGTGAATTCGGCTCATACCATGAGATGGAAAAGATCTTTCGCCACTCACAGTCTTCATTTAAATTTCATCATTTCAAGCCCATTGCTATTACCAGATAGAGAGGAAAACATGTAAGCAATGTATAGTTGGGTTGTTGTAGGTTTTTGTACAATGTATAGTTGCATTTCCACAGCTAAGAGCAGATCTGAAGGCAGTGATATGGGCCAGGGCAATGTATTTCAAGGGAAGGGCTAAACATCACTTGCTGTGATTCCAAATCTGTATTGGGAGACCGATATTACTGTTTTGGGGAGTTCAGCCTTACTTCTCATCTAAACTGCACCCTCCTTTCCATATCTTCCTTTTTCCTTCCTATGTACCTTCTCATTGACAGGTATCCAATGCAAAAGAAAACCAAGATTATGTATGTCTCTTTGTCCCTCTCAGTCATCTTTCAGCTAAGACCAAAGCAGCTCCTCTAAAGAAAGTATCCAGCAAGTGCAAATCACTTCTCTTAGCCAACTTTTTGAAATATGTGTGTTGTATATATGTTTTGTGTGTACTTGTCTTTAGGTTACCTGTTGACTTATGGTGATACCATGAATTTTATAGTTTATAGGAGTATAGTTTATAGATTTGTATGGTCTTCCTTTGAAATATAGCTTATGGCATGTGGTATTACTTGGAGGGTTCTCCCTCCAAGTACTCACCAGAACTGACCCTACTTTGCTTCCAAGACCAGAAGGGATCCGGTGCCCTCAGAGTGTTTGAACTTCCAAAGAACTCTGAAATCTGACATCCTACCATATGCAACAGTGAAGTAATTCAGGATTCATGTTCATCCTTCTACTGTCTTATATGGACTTCAGCATTTCAGCCAGAGACTTCTGTGAAATTATTTCATTATAGGTCCCTTTCCCAAGTGTATTGTTTGGCCACATCTGGAAAGAAATTGAATCCTGCAAAAGAGATGGTTGCCTAATATATACATACAATTTAAAAGAGTAGCTATCATTAATTGTGGAACCTTAATGACCAGAAATTACATTAAGGCCAGGAGCAATTGGTATATGCAGACATCCAATGACCGGTAACGACCTTAACACAGCTCATTTAGGCTTCTTAATTAGTGAATTCTTTGCCGCAATATTAATTATGGCCATGAACGTTTAGCCACAGCCACCAGACATCGAAGACTAAATGAATATGTTTCTCCAAATAAGACTCAGATGGCTTCAGAAAAGATTATAATAGCAATTTACTGTCAAAAACCAAGTCTATTTTCTTTTTCTTTTGCTAAATGTTATTTCCTGTAGCAAGGATAACTGAGCTATACCATGGCATTAGGGTATTTTGATGGTTACAATTACTACTATTCAGGAGAAAGCAACCTCTCCCTTTGTCTGACCCTATAGCTCTTGGCATTTGAGCCAACCCATTGCTTAGACTGGAAGGTCCTCCTTCCCTTTCCACCCACAAACAGAGGCGGCCCTAGGTAATTTTCAACGGTAAGCAAACAGTATTTTGGCGCCCCCCCCAACCAATCATTGATATATATTTTCTGTTTGTCGTGGGAGTTCAGTGTGCCATATTTGGTTCAATTCCATCATTGGTGGAGTTCAGAATGCTCTTTGATTGTAGGTGAACTATACATCCCAGTAACTACACTTGCCGCACTTGCTCCCTTGCCTGGCCCGCTTTGGGTCCGGAGGCGTGCCTGAAGACCCCGGCGTGTGCACCAAAAGTCACCTCTTCTCCTGACTTTCTCCTCAGCCATTGGGACCAAGAGAGAGAGAGAGAGACAGAGGTGGAGATGCCCACCTTTCCTGAAGGTAGGCGCAAAAACAAAGGAGGGAGCGGAGGTGGGAGATACCTCCAGAGGGCTCTCTCTCTCTCTCTCTTGGTCCCAATGGCTGAAGTCAAGAGAAGAGACGACTTTTGGTGCGCACGCTGGGGTCTTCACACACGCCTCCGGACCCGAAGCGGGAGAGGAGAGGAGGCGGGTGGAGCGTCGGGGGATCGGGAAAGGGAGCCGGTCATGGGGAAGGGATCGAACGTGGAGAACGATTGAGCGCCGGCTCTGCTCGCGCACCCGGTGGCCGGGTGGAGCAGGAACGAGAGGGGCTAGGCGAGGCTCAAGGGCCTGGCCCCTTTGGGAAGAGGATCGCCCGGCAGCAAGGCAAGAAAGCCGAGGCTCCTCCGGACTGCTAGGGCTGTTGTGAGCTGAGGGGGCGCTCCTCAAGTGGTGGTCGAGGGGCATTTACAGAGGCGCCTCTGCGCCCCTGGTAAAAAAAAGTGTTCTGCGACCGCTTACTTCGCGTAATGGACGGGCCGGCCCTGCCCACAAATACCAACCTTCTGATAGCTAAAAATAGTGTCTTTAACTCCATGATGGG